CTATATGGTTCTGAAATCACCGAACTACCTAAAAAAAAAAAGAAATTAATTCTGATAAAAGAGGTTGCAATTGATTTATTTCGTTCATAGTTAAGCAGAAATCACAATTACATGCAGAAGTAGTTACGGGATGGCAGAGGGTGGAGGTTGGAACCTTAAAAACAACCGAAGACCGGTGCTGGGCATGCATTAAATCCACGGGTCAGTAAACATTCTCTGCGGCCCAATGGAGCGGACTCAAATGCGCAGGCGCTGCTTACACACGGCCCCGCCCACTGCACCTGGAAGCAGCGGCTGCGCCACACAAGACCTTGGGTAATTATTTTGCCCTGTATTTCGTGCTTCTGCCTACATCCTAATCACTTCATGGTGCTGTCAATTTAAGATGGTTTTTTGTTTTGTTTTGTTTTTTGGTACCTGGGATCGAATTCGGGACCTTGCGCTTCCGAGGCAGGCGGCAGCACCACTGAGCTAAATCCCTGGCCCTAAAATGGATATTTTATCCACCAACACCTAGTAATCAGAGTTGTAAAAATAAAAACCTCTACAACTTTACATGCCAGAGAATAAGATCTTAAACACTGGTCTCTACTGAAAAAGAAATGGTCGCCATAAGCATTATCTCCAAATAGTACATTCAATATGCAAAAATTTATTCTTTTGATACCCTAACATAAAAACACTTTTAAAAATCTATGTTCTTTATAGATTTGTCATTAAAGTCTAAATACTTCTGCTGAAAAAACTATAAAGAGCTAAGTCATTGAGCGCCTTTTGATCCATTCTACTGAGTATTTTCACCAAAAAATGTCTCAGGATAAGAGGAAAATACTGGATTCTTTAGTCCAGATTTGTGTTTCTTATATGACTAAATATATTGAATGACTGCATTATCACATTATCTTCCTGGTGTGGTTTTCTCTTAAAGCTCAGTATTTCCTGCTTCCACTTGGTATGAAGAAAAACTGTTGTTTTATTTTATTGATTGATTTTTTTGAGACTATGTAGCTCATGCTGGCCTTGAACTTGAACTTGCTTTGCAGCTCAGGCTGGCCACAAGCTCACAATCCTGCCTCAGCCTCCCAAGTGCTAGGATTACAGGCACCTGGCTTTTTGTCCCTGGGTGCTGTCATTATAACAGACATTATTTCAAGAATGTGACTAAGAAGTCTCCAAGCTCAACCAGGTCCTTCTTAATAGGTAACTTGTTAAAAATAAGCCAGCCTGAAAATCTGCCATATTGCAAAAGGAAAAAAATATGTTTTTTTCTAAAATAACTTCACTCACTTAATTGTTCAGATACCTCTCTGTTCTCCTGAAGTAAGCTGTCTGGTAAGATCCATAAATATATTCAAGCCACTTATATAGGTCAGCTCATATGGGTGATGCTTTTTTAAGCAGCAGCTGACTAAGCACATTTGCATCTTGCTAACAAACTTCTGGTACATAACAATATTTTAATCAACCCTAAAGAACAATACTGGATCTGACCGTGGGGCTTAGGGTCATCTTATCACCCCGGGAACCTAGCTCCAGCATCGGCTGAGGTCTCCTTTCTCGAAGCCCACTCCGGGAGAGGCCCGAGTGCGCAGAGGCCAGGAGTGGGGTAGGAGAACCTCCCTATCTCTGTAAAGGAGATTAGAGGCGACAGCGGTCCATTTTACAGCTCAATCATATTGTGTTAGCATGCGCTTATCCGAGCGGGGATGAAATTGAAAGAGAAATCAAAAAGAGCCAGGCAGATAGGAAGCAGAAAAGCGAGGCAGGAGCAATTTCCAAGGATATAAAAGGATGCTAATGGTGAGGCCCTGTCATTCTTAAAAAGGGTTATTAGGGCACCGAGGTCTGCCCCGCGCTCCCCCGACTACAGACGAGCATTTTCTAAAGCCCTAGTGATCTTTTCTCTTCTCCAGATAAAGTATGGTCATGTTTCACAACAATGCATTTCCCTATTTATGTGATATATTAATGTAAGTCAACTAATACTATTTACTGATAAAAAGAATCCACTCCATATGTATTTTTCTCCAATATTTTCTTTTCTGCAATTCTCCACTCCTTATGTGGCAAAAGCAAGCGTCCACAAGCACGTCCCCAGCAGCATGGGAGGGCGACGCGTGTGAGCCAGTGCAACCCACACTTACCTGAAGTGCACATCTGGGCGTGTCAGAGCGTGCGTGGCTACACAAGCTGAGGGCTGGTGTAAAGACAACAAAGCCTGCAGTGCTCGTGTATTAACCAGAAGCGTCGGCTTCCCTTTAACATACCCTTCACAGAACGAAAGAGCTTTAAGGTGAAGTCTAAGCTGGGAATTTCCAATTCCGATTGATTGGGTTTTAATTCTGGCTCTGACCCCCTATAAAGATGGAGAGCACGATTTTACTTTTACCAAGGTGTGAACATGGCTCTAGTCATTCATTCTCTTTGCCTTCGCCTGTCTGCCCCACACTCATCATAGCTCTGTGTGGCTCCCTGATATCTAGGAACTCAGGCTAAGCAGCTTGGTTCCAGATGGAAGTATCCTCTCCTTCTCCGAAAAATGTTGCATGCATACTGATTGTGACAAAATGTAAAGGAGCAGTTAGGCCTGTGATCCCAGCACTCAGAAAGCTGAAGCAGGAGGGTCACCGCAAGTTTGAGGCCAGCCTGGGCAACACGGAGTTTAGGACCAACTTGAACCACACAGTGAGACCTTGTCACTAACAACCAAAACACAAAACAAAACAGAATTAAAGGGGATTTCAGTTAATTCTTGTTTCACTAATCCCTTTCTGAAAAGCCAAGATACTCCTCCACTCTCCTCCCAATCACTGAAAATACCCTTGGGGTACGAGAAAAACCAGAGCTGTGAATCACCCTGCTCCAGCACTTGCCTCCGATTGAGTCACTCACGTCAGTCCCCACGAATTCTAAGCCTCTGCTTAAGACTGAGCACATAATCGTAGAGTAATTGTTTCCACCACTGGAAACAGTGTTACTCAGAGTTATTTAAAGTTAACATCTTTGCAAAAGTCACGGCCCCAGTACTGTGCAAGGTCCTTTGTAAGCTGCCATTTCTGCTTAGACGCACAACCAGACCTCAAATTGTATCACTGGCTTTTCCTTACTAGAGGCACAGAAAGCGTTGGTGACTTTCACTGGTCTTTATTGTGGCGTGTCCAGGCGATGTCAAATACTGGCTTAACAACTCAGGCAGACCCGAGTAGAGGTGGGCAAATACAGGAGGACTGGACGCACACCTATAGCCTCGGACACCGCTGCTCTTGGTAAGGCCGACAACACTGTCATCATTATTATTTTGAAATAGTTCTTTGAGATGCAATCAACTGGGAGATGAAAATGGCCCCGTTCTCTTCCAGGAAGCTATGCTGAACACATGTTCTGAGGCACTGGAGGCATTTGGGGACTCCTGCAAGTGTCGTTTCCCTTCTTCTGGCTCTGAGCTGTTTTTGAGTGGAGGGTAACCAGGCCTGCGTTCTGGGCTAGAACAGCGGCTCCCGACTGGAGGGGACTGAGCAGGGAGCAGGCTGTGTGACCACCCGCCTCAGCACACCCGGCAATGTCTGGAGACACGTAGGTCTTGGGGGTGCTATGGGCCACCACTTAACACCCACAGCAGGGGAGTATCTGGCCCCCAAAACTAGCAGTGCCAAGGATGAGACACCCTGGCTTAGAATAATGATATTTCAAACACGCATATGGATACATATATATATATGTAATAATGACATACTGTATTACAAAAGGCCTACGGACACTTCAACAAATGTTACTTTTGTTCACTTCTACTTTATCCCATCTGTACCACGTTCCTTCCAAACATGACTTACATACTCTTTGAGCAGATTCTGCCACAGCTCTCAAATGTCTTCACACCCGTTAACGTTTCCTTTTCTCCCTTCTTGAAGCCTTCACATGGGTGGGGTTACAGTCACATGCAGTATCAATCACCCACATGATCAGAACCCTCCCTTTCCTTTAGCTGGAGTAACCTTCGTGAAGGTATTTTCTAAAGAACACACTCAAGCTCACCTATTTAACTAGTTTTGACTTAATTTGGGGTGCTTTATTAGCAACCAGTGTAAGACAAAGTAGCTGGTATAATCCAGAGTGATGTTTAAATTAGTTTACAATTTGCCGGGCCTCATCGAGAAGTGCGCCGAACAAAGCCATTCAGAAATGTCAGCCCTGTTCCTAACCACTGTGACAAATTGTGGCCGAAGCCGCACACCTAATGACTTCAAATTAGCTTCACTGCGATATCGCCTGACAGTTCGTTACGACTGTTAGCAACATAGCTGGCGTATCATGACCAATAAATTGGTTTCAGTGTGGGCTGGGAAGGGGACTTCCATCAATTTGATTAAAAAAATTACTGTAGCATTCAAAGCCTAAAGACAAACTAGTTTAAGGAGACAGGAGTAAGTTAACTGTACCAGAAAAACATTGCTCAGCATTCAAAAATTTGATTGTAAACTTCTCAGAGTCCAAACAGACAATAATTCAAACAGAATTCTGAAATTCTTAAGACTTATGATCAGGCATGTGCGTGCTGATGCTGTAGGATGGACCAAAAGAGAAAAGAAAAAAAAATCGTAAAAACCTAACTATAAATTACCATAGGAGAAAATTCACATCGGTTTAATACTTATTTTCATAATTTATATATAAAATCATGGTGAACATCTAACTGTAAACCAAAGAAAGACTTATGGATACAAAGAGCAAATCAATACAAACAGCCACCATAGAACCACAAAATGCATGATTCCTAAAAGGAAGAAAGGTACCTGAGGTGCTCAAGGTGCTCAAGCTCAAGGTGGTACAAGCACCCAGAGGTTAAGATTCCATCAGAACCAGCAAAGCTCCAAATTAAGTGTGATAAAAAAAAATGCGAAGGTTAAAAAAGATCCTATGAGAAAAATTTGAATTTTCCCAAATCGATGTCCATGACCCAGAGAATTCGCTACCGCCCCGCCCCATCTTTTCAGAAAAGGTACCTGGAATGTGCTTCGCCCACCCGATGATCACCACCAGCTCCCGGTCCGCCAGGTCACACAGGGTGGTGAGGGCTTTGACGTCACTGTCGGGCACGGTGGGGTCAGGCATGGCATAGATCTTCTCTGGCTCAGCCACCAACAAGTGCGAGACGATCTTGTTATCTGCAGGGTTGGACCACAGAACTACAGCGTCACCAGCGGCGGGAACCCCAGTGTGTGGGGCTTTGAAAAACAACTCACAGCCTCCAGTCAGCCCCACGTGTTCCGTACCATGTACGGAGCACAGGAATTCAACCGCATTCAGAAATCTCACACAAGACAGGCCACTGCCGTCAGGGCAGAATCGATTCTGTTTGCTTTACCTGCTTTTGCTGGGATGAAACAACTGTCCCACAGTGAACATTTTTGCAGCAGACGTATAAGAGAAGTTAGATGCTTTCTGGGTTTGCTCGAGGATTCTTAAGTGGGATTTAGGGGAGCAGATTAAACAGTATAAAACAGCTTAAAAGTGAAAATCCATGGTAAACTGGTGAAATTTAGGCTATAATGTGGGAGCCAGAGAACTGCTAATGCCCACAATCACAACAGGCATGAAAGTCATTAATTGTCTTAATTCCTCTGAAGAAGAGCAAAGGTCAGAGCCCTTCTGCCTGGGTGAATTACTGACTATATCACTCTATCTCTGTGGGATGCATTAAATAGGGATTTCATTCCTTCCCCCCCTTCCCAAGGCCCAGCAGCCTTCCAAATGTAGCTAATATCAGTTTCCATAAAAATACTCCTACTTCAATGGCACAGTATTTTCTCTTCTGAGCGCCCGATTCCTTTATCCTCTATTTTAATCTGTTGCCCTTAGTTCATTCCCTGCTTCAGATTCATCTGTCTGAAATTGGTGATATATGTGTTAAAAATCCTTCATAAAATAAACACTAGAGACAAATGGAAGCATCACACTGAATGTGCCTTACTGCTCGGGGGCATGAGAGGCTTTATGGAGGGGCTGTAAAGCCGGGCCAGGGGAATGGTTTTTCTCCTCAGTGCGATTTTCAATTTCGGTACAGAGCTTTACCTTTTCTATCTTCTTCTAAGTGAGGAGATCCAAATGGGCAAGAATAAACCCACATATTAAGAGTTCTATGCACTGCTACACTGGAAAACCAGGGCACTGAGCAAACTCTCTGTGAACAAAACCAAAGTGCAGTATTCACCATGTTTACCAATTTACCTTTTGCTCTATATTTTTAACTTTTTTTTAACCCAAAATGGCATTTCACACAACTTGGAATTAAATATAGCATCCTTTTCGTCTCCTGTCATGAAATAGCAGGGAGACGCATGCAATCTATAATTAGCATTTTTTCTGACATGACACTTTAAAAATTTATTAATATGGCCATATGAATTAAATTTATTTCAAAAATTCACCAGATAACTAGTCATTGGCAGTAATCTTCAATGATCATTAAATTCAACATCATTTTAGGGAGGAGACATTCCCAAATATCACATTTCTTAGGAAAAAATTAAAAATCGATTAGATTCTTTTCCAATCAACAGCATCTGCAAAGAATGACATTTGTTTCTTGCCTATGCTATAGGAAAAACACCCTGTATTTTTTGTGATGCTTGGAGAAATGTAAACTTTCATTGCACTGACAATGCTCCAAAACCTGGCAGGAACCGCTGATGCCCAAGGTTAGAAGGAAACGCAAAAGTAAGGGTACAAAAATGTAACCAACCACAGGAAGTCATGAGCTAGACTGTTTCCGGCACTGGCTAAAGCCAACCCGTTTTACCCAAGTCAGTGGGTGCTTGGCTTGAGGGGTCAGAGAAATTCGGTTGAAGCTTAAAAATTCCCATCATTCAGAGAATGGCATAGCCGGCAGCCCTGCTCCTAGGTAAATCTTATTTAATGTTTCCCTAATTAGAATCAATAGAACCCAATTTTCATTCCTGGGGCTTTGCGGTGCACAATCAGTCAGGGTGAAGAAATCTCCCCAGCCACTTTCTCAGCAAAGCCCAGCCGTCTCCTGACACTTATCTGACAGCATCTGAAAATTAAGTTTTATAAATGTTTGTTACAAAAACACACTAATTGGATGGACTAAGGAAAATTAACACAGAGGGCCTTAGATAATGAGTAATGATTTATTAGGAGTCCTCTTTATCTCAGACAAATGGAGCTTGCTGAAGCTGCTGTAATCTTCTTTAAGATACTTGACAAGCCACTTCCCAATTCCTCAGGTTTACACAAAAAACGATAGATGTCCCTTTATCATGTTGACTTACAAACGGGCCCGGGTTCATTTTTCTTTCAGTAGAGGGAGTTAGCAATGGCTTCAGCCCATGCTCATAAAAAATAAATCAGAAATGGGCAGTGTGTATATTATCAAATCAAGGAAAACTAAACCTCTAATGAAGTTAAGCATTAGTGTTTATTGCATTTTATTGTATTATCAGAAAGTTTTTTATTATAATGGGCAAAATCTGCTCAGTGCGGTCCTGGATTGTATCTGCAGAATGCCAAACAGCTTAGGCAGGCTGAGGAGCCGATGCCAGATTGGACAATTGAAGGTATAATCAACATAATGTTTTTTGGAAAGGCAAAAGGAAAACTATGCCATATGTTCACTTAAGCTTTAATTTTATGTAAAACTGGTTGTTTTTCCTTTGACATAGCTGAAATGTCCTTTCATTTACAGTTCAGGAGCTGTTTTATTTGTTTAATAGATTCCCATATGCTCGCAAGTAAGATGCACAGCAGTGACCCCTCCTGGACGTTCTGAATTAGAGGTGGACACTTTCTCCTCACGGGAAAGCAGCTCAAACATTCCCATGGCCTCTTCTGAGAATCTGTGCAGGCAGCTTCCCCTGAGGAGCCTGCATGGTCCTCTGCGACAGCGACAGTGGCAGCTAACCCTGAGAGCTCTTTCCACCAAAGCTCCTCACTGTGCCCAGAACGAGCTCCGTGCACAAACACCCTCCACTGCCAGCTCCCTAGCACTACTGCTATGAACTGATTTTTCAGAAAATGGGATACAGTTATTGCCTCGATCTATATTCCAGCTCTTCTTAGTTAATGACAAAAAGAATGGGGTTTGCGTTTTAGCAAGGTACCAGTCATCCTTTCAAGTTGCAACCTGGCTCATAAAACCATGAGCTCTTTAAAAACAATTCATGATGCACATAAGGGCCTCTGAGATGGAACCACCAACCTATGCTTGTTATTAGGGGGGGCCCATCCCAGTTTTAATCTATTGCTAGCTCGCGTGTTAACCTTCTATAGCTCCAAATTAATGAGGCCCCTAATGTATTTTCATTGGGAGGTTGAGCAGCTAAACTCATTTAGTTAGCGAAAACTACAAAAATCACTTTCTTGTGAAATCTGAAACGAAAAGCTCCAATGAACTAATGATCACAGTATGATCCGTTTTATGTACCTCTGGAAGTAAAGATAGCCAGTAAATGTAAAATGCACACGATCGAAGCTATGCATTAATATGCTTATGCTTCCACGGAATGACTAGGTGCAGAAAGGCAGGGGAGGAAAAAGCAGGTATCTTTAAAAGGAAAATATGATAGTTAGGTAAGTGGCTCCTGTTTCTCGCAGACAGTCCTTGGCAACAGAGCCACTTTCTCCAACAAAGAGAGGTCCCCTTGGAGTCAGCAGGGATGGGCCGGCCAGCACGCCAGGACAAGGCGCCAGCTGGGAGGGTCCTTGTGCTGTAGGGCGGACACATCTGCTGTACTTACATGGCTTTTTGGCTGGCTGAACCAGCTGGGGGTTCAGGTACGGGCTGTTCTCTGCATCTATTCTGCGCTTGTACTTCTGCCGACCTCCGCGTACTCTGTCAAGGCGTACCCCTGCGGGCAAAGACAGGCACCAGCTTACTGTTTAGGTAGCGATCATCGAGACCAATCAAGCACACTGACAGTGGGCCCCGGCAGGGCTCTGCAGCCACACAGGAGAATACAGAGTGGCCCAGGAGCACTGGAGGAATGGGGGAAAATGCTGGCTAAATTATCAAAATTGTCACAGGTTGGAAACCACTTCTGCCAGCAGATAGCAGACCTGAAAGGCACCATATACAAAGCCATCAAAGTCATCATTTCAACATCCAAGAAAAGACCAATTTCTGTGTCAATGAGCACACAGGAGGTGCTTTTCTGAAGCTTCTGTAGTTTCTGAAACACTGGCATTTCGGATCCTCTTCCTCAGGCACCCTGAAAGCTCGAAGTGCAGGAGCCAGGGGCCAGGAGACCCAGAGCTCCCCACCCTCCTGCACCAGAGGACTCAATCTGGAGAAGGGATGAAGAGCTGGGGTGGGACACGGTCCTGTGCCATGGAAGAGCATTCCATGGTGAAAGGTCAGCATGTGTCAGGATGGGGATGTGACTTCCGGTTTGGCACACATTTGTATTTCCTGTCCTATGTGGGACACACTGATTGGGCTGGGGTGACCAGGAGACGTGAGGGGCTTCCCGAGAAAGAATTCACAAAGCCAAGGCATGGAAAGAAGGGTGTTTGTGAATGTGGCGAGCTCAAGGGGCAAGCTAGACAGGAGGCGATTAAAACATAGAAGTGTTATTTCTAGGAAGGCAGTGATGGGAGAGAAGTTAATAATCTAGCTTCCGGTCTGGAGCTGTAAAGTTCAGGACGAGACCAGATGTTTCCTTCCCAATGAAGGGAGCAGGAGCAAAGACAGACTCTTGCTGTGGCCTGGGTTGAACCGTAACTGACAGATCAGGGTAACATTATCTATTAATAAATTCACCCACATAATGCATTATACATATTTTGGCATTTCTCAAACTGTTTAGAAAATAGATTTGGTTTAACGGCATCATCAGTATGATTATTTTACTGTAAGGCCTCTCAGAGCCGCTGATATGCAAATGCACTCTGTAAAACTCTACAAAGAAGATCTATAGCACATGCAATGTTTTGCAAACCAAGGAATGCTTTTTTTTTTCCAGAATATTTATTAATGTCATGTGAAATTGAGTGGGTTGTAAGTTATCTAAGTTATAGGAGAGAATTTGGTAAAGGCTGATGCATTTCTATGTAAATCCCTAAGGTGAATACATTACTCAAATATTAAGTATTAGGGATTCAAGATACAAAACCCTACAATTTTTCATAGTATGCTACTACTTCTACTTTAAGATTTGATTATCTTTTGGTAGAACACAAATGAATAATTTGGTTCTGGATAAAGCCTTACTTACTTGACATACCGACACAGCAAAATATAAATAAAATTAGGAGATGACTTCAAGAACAATTGGGTAGGTCAAACAAAGATCAGAAACCACAGAAGTTAGGTAGGGCTTCTAAAATATTCACTGAAGGGGCCGAGGATTTAGCTCAGTGGTTCCACCGCCTGCCTCGTAAGCCAAGGACCCAAGTTCGATCCCCGGTACCAAAAAAAAAAAAAAAAAGCAATATAAAATATTCACTGAAAGTTAAAGTGAATATTCACTGAAAGCTGTCCTACACATGGGTCACAAAGAAGCTGTTATTTTTAAAGTACTTTAAGCCCACAGTAGAATCCCATTCCTTCGTTCCTCTAATTCCTAAATTCTTATTTTTATAACATCTACATTTACTGAAGTTTAACACTTTTCACTTCTTTCTCCATTTATTATGTTGTCTTTTTTGTCTCTTTCGCTTCAAAACTTCCTCTAAGATGTTTTTTCAGTTTATATAAAGTGGTCCCATTTCATATTATCACTTAAGAGACATTCAAACCTGTTTCATGACACCACTTTTAAGACTTCTGAATCCTATTGGAATATAAAAAGCATATGACACTGGTTATGGCCTCATGTGTTTGTCATCCGACTCCAACACAAGGAAGACACTTGATCTGGTATTATTAGAGTTGGATAGAGAAGGAAGGGGGCACAGAAAGAAAGACAGGGAAGGACACCACAATTTAAAGAGGGAGGGAATGTGTTTGGATGCCTCTAAAGTTGTTAGAACAAAGAAAGCTTATAGAATAAACCATTGGTTTGTGGACTCCTGAGTTTGCTTTTGTTGCTTGTCAGAGGATGCAGTCACCAACATCACTGTTTTCACATAGCAGATAACGTGCTCTGTGGTCAGCGTGGTGGATTTCTGACAGCACAGCCAGGCCTCGGGAAGAATGGTGGAACAGAGCTGTGAAAGAGTGGCCAGATCCAAGGCCCGGGCTGCAGACAATGCACACACACCTGTGGGACTCACCCCGATGCACCGAGCTGGCTGCGCTACGGGGCAAGAGCAATACTGAGAACTCATCTTTACGCCTGAAGGAACATGCATACCTCTGGCTCGCAGAATTTGTATCATGTGTTATAGGTTAAATGTTGCCTTTATGAGACACATTAAGTGCTGTCCAATAATTATGATTACTGTACACTTCCCTTTCACTTTGAAAGCTGACTTGGAGAAGTATTCAGATAACTTTCTCCATGCTTCAACCACATCTGAGGGCGCAGTCTCTTCTGACCCCCACCTCCATGGCTTCCCATGTGGGTAGATCAACGACTCTCCACACATTCGACTACACCCCATCTTAGCCCTGCTTCCTCCACCCAGCCAGTGACCCCCATGTCCGGTTTCTAAATGTTCAAGAACTTTTCATATACACCGTGATTTTATACCTTACTTCCTAAGGTAAAAATCATTTGGACGAAGCATTCTTTTATGATGTGTGACATTCTTTATATGAAATTCAGTAGGAAAAAAAGATTTTAAATCAGATTAATAATTATATAGTAAAAGTCAAGAGGGAATAGGCAGAAAACTGTTCTTGCCATCTGTAAACAACTAATAGCAAAAATTTCTCAAGTCAATATATTTTAAAAGATCATTATAACATGTGCATGAACATTTCATTCTCCGTCAAAAGAAGGCAGATATCAGCAATTTCAAATACTTCAAGCCAGCTGGGCATTGTGGTGAGCACCTGAACTCCTAGCACTTGGGAGGCTGAGGAAAGAGAGTCCCTGTGAATTCAAAGTCAGCCTGGACTACACAGTGAGACCTTGTCTCAAAAAAATAAAAATACCTCAAACCAATTAATATTACTCAACTTCAAAATCTGCCTTTTATGCATCCTCTGGTGAAATTATTACTATGATAAGTATCATTGTTTGATTTAGCTGACTTCGTACTTGGTGAAAGGTGTGACCCCCAATCATGCTTACACACAGTAGCACCTATTTCTCCACACTAAAACTATTCATCAGTTTATTTCATTGCATTGCGGGGAAAATATTACCAATCTCCAAAAGTGAAATCAGCTCAAAGCAGGTCTCTAAACATATGGACACAGTTGCTTTTTCTCCTCTCTCTCTCCTTCTCTCTCTCTCTAATAAAAAAGGTTTATTCATGTAAGCAATATTAATACAAGCACTTACATTTCAATAATATTTTAAATAGTCTAATAAAAATAATACTGAACAGGTATCATTAAGATGTGTCTAAATTTGCAACATAATTCTACTTTTAAATTTCTCAAAAAAAATCAAATTTAAAAAACTAAAGACACCAATATAATTAAAACATGAAGTCACAAAGGAGGCTCTTTTATAGGAAATAAAACATCAGACTGGGAAAAACAGTTCTCATGATGTTAACTCGATGGGAAACAAATTCTGTATAATTGAGACAGTATACATCTTCCTGTTAGAAAGTTAATTTCACAAAAACAAAATGTAGATTGCAAAGGACAGAAGTATTTAACCAAAAATAAGTCCACTGCTGTTTAAATTAAAATACCGTAAACCAAATATACTGAATGAAGACTGTTTCTCTTTGCAGTTGTCTGGACGTGGATTTAAACCATGATTTGTCATTATTAGGAACACATGAAAATGATATGTTGAGCAAGAAAAATACATATCCAAAAAAAAATGAGGATGAGTCAGTGAAAGAGGAAAAGGTAAAAGTCACCAAGTTATATTTTAGGTAACTATTTGTAACTGCAATTAATTTATAGAAAATCTTTGGCCTAAAATTTTTGACTTTGCAAATATAAAAATAAAGGATGAATAATTATGCATCTTAACATCCTTGAGTTTGGCCCATTATCTACAGTAATGTTTTCTGAAGTCTTTTTCCCTTTTTAATGTTTCCAACTATAATAATATAATACTATATTCTTAAAAATTTTGTGACGAATGTCAAGGAAAACAAAGCATAGTTCACCCATCAAATGGGTCTGTTCGTTTTCTGACTTTGAATAACCAGCTCTGTAAACTCTGGTGGGTCCCTTCACTTTTCCAGATACAACATGGCTCCATGATGTTTTGCTGTAATGATCCACTAAAATGATACGGTGACTATTATGGAAATGACTATTTAAAATAGCTTATGAACTTTAAAATGACAAGGAAGAATAAGGGAGTCATTATCACATCCTCATTTTGTTGAATTATTGCCATACTGCTTCATGGAAATATGTTTTTGCTCATAGACCCTGATCTCAGTTCTGCAGGTAGATAGATTTCAAATAGGATGGTCTGGGAAGGTAACCAACGTGATCCTAGTCAAATAACGACATTATCCGGCATCTGAGTGAATTACAGAAGTATCTGGTATCCCACTTCATTTATTGCCCATTCCTATTAGATATGTATTTTAGAAGAGAAACGGAAGGAAATGAAAAAGTTTTTTTAAAACAAAAGATGTTTTCTCAGAGGCTAACTGTAAGTACATAATTATTTATAAATATCCAATTAACCCACTGCATGTAAATGACTCCAACTATCCACCTACGCAGAAGCAAACAGCAGTAATATTTATGATCAGGACCTGGGAAATGCAGACCAACCAAATTCGAATACTTCTGCTAAAGGCAACAAAGATATCTCTT